CTGGATAAGTAACTTCCTATGTTACTCTTCAAAGGCCTCATCAAGCATCTTTCTGACTCCTTTGCAGAGCTAATTTCTAGAAACTGCACAGGGAACCTGGCCCTGGAGCGATCTTTAGAGATCCTCAGACACGGCTTTAGACCCTTGCTGAAGTCCTTTCCTGGTTGGAACTCTGTCTGAGTCTGCCTGTGGGATCCTCTGTGGCACCTGGACCCTGTCTTGTGTGGTTTCAGGCTTTTGCCTACAAATGTAGGGGGCGGCCAGGGTTCCTGCTTGCCCTGTGTCTGGTAAGTCCCTGAGGACTGGCCCTGAGGTGAACTCAGTTCCAGAGTCAGTTGGATCCTGCAGGGCAGGTGACTCCGGAGTTGACCTTTGTTGAGCCTCTTTGGAAGATGTTGATACTGGAGATTAGGGCTGATTGAGCCCCCGTGAAGAAAGGAAACTGACCTCTGGGCCGGGGAGGCCCCTCTCGCCTGGGGAAGGTTGGGAATGAAGACTCCCTGAGGTCTTCTGACGCCTGAGGGTGGAGGCCTCCCGCTTTGCTGCTGCTGCTGCTGCTGCAGCGGCTGGCATTCCCGATGCTGAGTTTCAGGTGGGATAAAAGATTGTGCCTGTTTCTGGAATGTAGGGCAAGATGGCCCATAGGTCCTCATCTGGGGTGAAGAGGAAGGTTCGAATAGGAGAGAAATTGGGAGGTAGGACTGGGCCTGGATCTCAGCCTGAGGAGCCAGGGGTGGGGGCTGGGACTGAGGCAAGTTTTGAGTGAAAAGCTGGGATTGGGTCCCCAGGCCGGGCAAGAGTGGGGCCTGAGAAAGACTTAAAGGTATACTGGGTTGAATGGAAATGGGAAAGCCATTAGAGGCTCCGTTGAATAAAACAGAGGGTGCCTTCAGTTGAGAAGAACTGGAAACGAGGGCTGAAGCCACCAGGGACTCACTGTGCAAAGAGGGGAGGCCCCAGAAGAGCTGGCTGTATTTCTGCACTAAGTGGTCCCTCAGGACCTCCGGGCGGGAGAGTTGCCGAGGACCTGACAGCTGCTCTGGCTTGTCTTTCATGTTCCAGAAAGACCAAGGGGCCGCGGGGTTCTGCTCCTCGCCCCCTGACCACCACGTACGCCCTCGAGGGCTCAGATGGTAGTCAGAGCTCACTTGTTCTGCCGATGACCCACCCTTTTCTTTCTCCTTCCAGGTCTTAAGTTTTACTCTCTTGGCGGTTAGCATCTCCAGTAGCTTCTGGATGTCCGGGTTGACAAATGAGGGGCTACCAATCTCTACCTGCTTATTTGTGGGGCCTCCCCAGAAGTGGGCCTTTGCTGGGTGCTCTTGCTGGAACTTTGATGAGGTGGGAAAGAACAAGGCCTTGGTGGTCTCCCACCAGCTGGAGAGGAACGAAATGGGACAGCTTATGCGCCCGAGACTCAAGATGGCTGGGATGGTAGACGACAAAAAGGAGTTACGGGGGCTCTTTGGGATGGTACCCAGTGGGGTTGTCTCCAGATTGGGCTGGTCTTGAGGGTCTGCTGACAGGGTGGAGACCAGAGGTGGAGGCCCTGGGTCAGAGGAGCAGGGGAAGCCAATAGGCTCATGGCAGGAGCAGCCTCTTTTGCAGACTCCCTGCACGGCTGCTGGGCTCCAGCAGGCTCTGCTTTGCACACCTTGTCAGGGGGCTCTTGGCGGGATTGCTGTTGAAAGCCGCCCTTGTCGGGGGACCTCCCCAGGTGGCTGCGGGAGACAGGAGGCACAAGCTGCAGCCAGGAGCTGGCAGGCCCAGGACAGCTGGGCAGGCCAGGTGGGGGTGGGCATCTGCGGCCCTTGGCCCTCCATGGCCCCCACACTGACTTCACAATGCTCCTGCTATCCCCCCTCCCCCAGGGCTTTAGCCATCCCGTATCCCCAGGGCTCCCCCTCCCAGGTCAGCCCCAAGCTGCCTGCAGCCCTGGGGTCACCCCACAGGCTCCGGGAGGAAGGAGAACCCGGGAGAGGAGGGGAAATTACCTTTGCAGAAGTAAAACCAGGTCCCGAACCTCTTCCAGCTCCTCCTGACAGTCTCTGCAAGCTGGAAATCAGGAGGCTGGGTCACGGGGTGAAGGTGGGAGCCTAGGGGCCTCGCAGGAGGCCGAGTGCCATGTCCCTCTCTAGGGGACATCACTGGGAGGCTGCAGCCCAAGCACCAGCACCCAAGGCTGCCTGGTCCCTTACAGAGATGGAGAAAGCTCACGAATGGGTTTATCATTTTCAAAGCGCCTCCACATCCATCCCCCCCCCGCGGCCCTGACAACCCCCTGTGGGGCTACAGGGCAGGGGTCACCTCACGGAGGAATCCGAGCAAAGTTAAGCAGCACAGTTACACCTGGAGGTCCCACCTCCCCGCCCGGGCCCCGCTGGTCCCCTGCGGCCCGCACGCCCGCGGCCCACACCCCTTCCCAGGCCCCTCACAGCTTCGTTCCGAGCGCGGCATCTGGAAAGTATGTGGGTTCTGCTCTCCTTCCAGGAGCCGCCCTGAGGGTTCGGCTTCTGAGGGACAGACTCTGCCACCGGCGTCCTCGTCCTCGGAGACCGCGGAGCTGGGTCCTCAGGGCCCGGGGTGGGGGCTGGCTCTCGGGCACACGGGGCTGAACAGAGCTTACCTTTCAGAGCTCTGTTTTTCTTCCAAGTCCTGCCCCTGCCCTTCGGCGGATGCTGAGAGACAAGGGGGAGCAAGGGGCTGGGACCCGGCTCTCACTCCGCCCTCCCCCGACAGGCGTCAGACCCGCGTCCACGCACAGCACAGCTTTCTGCATCTAACGGGGCTCTGTGGGTTTTCTCCCCTTTCACTGTCTTTTAAAGTGGATGAAAGTATTTTCTGTTTTCCTTCACTGGAGAACGTGAAGAAGGATTTTCTACGCAAGGCCCACCCTGGATGTCTTCCGTCACTGCTCCTCTGCTCAGGAAACACGCACTCAGACCTGCAGGCGCATCTGGGCTCCGTCAGGTGGGCCCTGCTTCCCGAGGCCAGGGCCCCCCTGCAGCCCCAGTCGGAGGCTCTGGGGGCCTCAGCACTGCCCTCAGATCAGCCCTGACCGGGGAAAGTCTCGTCCCAGACACCTGTTCACGGCCGGTGAGCCGGGGCTCAGGGGCCTGACCTCTGGCTGAGTCTGAACTCCCAGCATCCAGCCCTCGGCCCCTGGTCACTGCGTCTGGGCCTTGCCCTGGAGCCCTCTACCCTCCCTGGACGACTGGCCTGAGCTCTCTGGCTGGAAATCCCGGTGCCCAGTCCAGCCCCTGCCCAGCCCGGCTGGTCCCTGAGGGCCGCTGTCCTGTTGTTCCCCGAGAATAGGTGTCCTAGTCTTTCCCACCTCAGGGGGCGCTCTCCTCGACTCAGAAAGGTGGAAATAATGACAGGATAAAGGAGAGAGAATCAGGTGCTTTTGGGTCCGAGCCAAGCGTTCCTTACCTTCCTGAAGTTTCCGTGCTTCCTAGGAGGTGGTGCGGGTGGACCACCCTGGAAGTAGGAGATAATTAGGAAGAAGAGCCCCAGTCCGCACAGGGCGCCCAAGATGATGTC